TTGGTGGAAAGTTTGACATTAATGGATAGAAAGTGTCTTTCAACCACGACACACCAAGAAGACATACATGTTCATTAATGCTGTGAACGTGAAAGGATACTTTGTTTGGCGTCTCAAGGCTGGCAGGCCTTTTTTCTTCTATCCAAACACTTTATATCCTTCGCTACCCCTTTTGAGCCTGTATTATTTTCTTTGATCACCCTCTTTTGGAATCAATTTTAGAGTTAAAAGTCTATATATATATATATATATATATATATATATATATATATATATATATATATATATATATATATATATATATATATATATATATATATTATAATAACCGAATTACAGAACGAGATTCAATATTCAGCGTATATTTAGAAAATAACAAAACACGTAAAGACAACATATGAATATAAATATTATCATTACAATTTTACTCGACGAGTTGTCATGTTTTGTAAACGATCAATGATCATCATTAGGTACACTTTCAAATACTTTATCCTCTACATAACAAACTAAACAATCATTAAAAAATTCAACACCAATTCTACTTCGCAAGTCATTTTTAACGTACATCATCGAAGAAAAAGCTCTTTCTACCATTTCGGTAGCGACATGCAATATCAAACTTAACTTCACAAGAAAATAAACAAGTCTCCAAGTCATGTTTGTTTTAACTAATGTCTCCGAAAGATCTCTAAGTCTTTTCAAGTTAGAGAATTCATTGCCCGCATCTCGCACATAGTCAATATAGATGTCAAGCTCAAAACCAAGATCCTCAAACATAGAATCAGTGAACTCATTCGAATTTTGTGTAGCAAGTTTTATAATCATGTCTTTATCATAATTTGCAAAAGAATTATCTGGACTCAAACTAGCCATACCAAGAAGTAGATCAGTATTCACTTCATTGAAACGACTGTTAAGCTCCGAAAGTTGCAAATCAATAATGGCATAGAAAAAATCTACATGCAAATGATAAGAATATGTAACACTTGATTTCTTACGCTTTGGCTTTCTACGAGCATAATTCATATCCATTTCAGTGATCACAATACCATGCTTGACACAAAATAAAGAGATGTCTTCTATCAAAGAATTCCATCTAGATTCTCTCATATCTTGCTATTGTCTCTTTGCGAAACCAACAAACTTCATTGCACTTACAATATCTTGATTTTTTTTTGTTACAAAGCCATATTCAAATTATATGTAAGTGCCAATACTTTCAACATTAAATGTAACATATACACAAAGTCATAATATCTTATGTCATCCACTAAACTTTTTGCCATTGATCTCTCATGATAATTTGAACCCTCAATTGCAAGAACTCCAAGTACATGAACAATTGATGAGAATAAACTAATAAAATTATGCACTGTCCTAAAATGAGAACCCCATCGAGTATCACCTTCCCTTTGAAGTCCAAGTTCATGATTTAAATCGCTTCCTGTATGAACTTCACCAAACGCTAGTAGTTCCTCTAATTTTTCTGCTTGATCATCTCGAATCATCTCCCTACCTTAAAAGAACCTCCAACAATATTTAAAACATTTGCAAGAATATTAAAAAATTGTTCAGCCTCATAATATTTTTTTTGCAACTGCTAGAAGAGTCAATTGCAATTGATGAGCAAAATAATGTATGCAATATGCCGAAGGAGTATCATTCATAATCAAAGTTATAAGACCATTAATTTCCCCTGCATGTTACTAGCTCCATCATAACCTTGTCCCCATATTTGAGATTTACTCAATGAATGTTCCAAAAGTAAAGAACAAATTGCTTCTTTTAATGACTTTGCGGATGTACCTTTAACATGAACAATGCTAAGATATCGCTCAATAACTTTACCCTCTTTGTTGACATAATGCAAAACAAATATCATTTGTTCCTTATGAAAGACATCGTTAGACTCATCAACCAATATCCTAAAGTAATCCCCGTTCAAGGCTTCAACAATTGCTTTCAATGTTTCTTTCGCACAAGAACTCACAATGTCTTTTTGTATTTCTGGACAAATCATAATGTCATTTTTGGAGCATTTTCTAACACAACTTTCTTTACATCACTCTTCTTATCTACATACCACTTTAAGAGATCTAAAAAGTTGCCTCTCCTTGTAGAAGTTTCACGCTCATCATGATCCGGGAAAGACATTCCTTCTTCCAAAAGATACCTTGCAACATCAATTGAGGCATTCAAGCGAACCCGATACTCACTTTTAGTTTTCTCGGATTGCTTATCAAAAGATGTTAAGATAGATTGTGCTTGATTCGATAAATCTAGCATCATCTTGAAACACTGTTGGCCCAAGATCAGTTGAAGTTTTGAAGAATGACAAACAAACTCAGTAAAGGACCAGGTTCATCTAAGGACACACAGTTGTTATGGCCCATACACATGAAGTGCACGTGAAGAAGATAAGTCCTTGAGATCAAGCAGCAATATCTTGATGAATATCTTCTGAACTGATCGAAAAGATTGCATATAGGATAAGGAGTTGAAATCTCATTATGAAAAGAGAATTACATCAGGATCAAGAATATGGATTAGGAGTTAGAGTTGTTCTTGGACTCGAATTGTCAAAGGATCCACAATTTGAGTTCTTATCAAACTCTGATTACTAACTCTATAAATATAACGATTGTTCTCTTTTACAGGTGAATGCACATAAGCAGAAGTTAAGCATATTTGAGAGCAAAAAGATCAAGTCTGATTTGCGAGCAACATATGCGAGATACAAGTGTGCACGTCTGAAGCTACATGAACTAAGATAGAAGAACTAGTTTCATCATTGTGTTTATTCTAAGTATAGTTCAATTGTAGTAGGTTTTCATATTGTACCTTTCAGCTTTATCTAGAAGCAATTGTAATAGGTATGTTGAGTATTCAAGTTAGAGTTAACTTGAAAGTGTCGCAACAGTTGAGGCTGTGTGCTACACTGGGATTAGAGTTAATCCTTAGGTTTACAAAGAGTTTTGTAAATGCAGTTTTTGGCTCAGTGATTTTAGTGGAGTTTGGGAAAATCCTACTGAGTAGTAGGTCGTGGTTTTTTCACCTTTTGAGCCAGGTGTTTTCCACGTAAAAATCTCTGTGCACTTTACTTTCAGTATTTATTATTCCGCAAACTGCTGTAGTTAGAACACTTAGAAGAACCAGATTCTTCTAACGCGAAAATTAGGTACCACACAAATCACCCCCCCCCCCCTCTTGTGTGGTATTGACGTCTAAAACATCAATGATTTAGTTGAATCTCACTGCGGTATTATGGCAGTAATGGGGTATGATTATGTGAGCACGTGCTTTTGGATTTATATGTCCGGTAGTGTCCCTATTAGTGGAATTTGTAGCTAGATGGCTACGTGATGAGTATGATGTGACTACGAGATGTTCATATGGTTTGAACGTGACGAGAAGGGTTTGCTTCAGGTGTAGCAAGGGCTATTGGGTGCTTGATTTCTGTTTTTATTCGACGTATAGTCTCGAGTTATGGGCATGTTGAAGGATATTTCATGTTGTTTAGTTGTAGAGTGAAGTAAGTTTTCAATGTCATGATATGAGTTCAGATTCAAGAAGATTAAGTGATTGCGAAATAGTTATGACTGTGGAAGGGAATAGAGGGATGTCGGTTTGAGGCAAAGTAGGTGGGTTATCTCCAGTGAGGTGTCCTGAGGTTTGTGTGATCCCTACATTGTTTTGTAGCGAGTTCTCTTTTACTAGTGAAGTATATGTGTTGCAATTTGAGTTTGGATCACTTATGAGAGATAGCTTGACTGTTACAAGGGCGAATGCGAGATTTGTAGATGAATTAATATATTAGATGGTTTGTGTTTCATGAGCTTATGGAGGATTTAGTGGAATTTTCACTACGATATTGTGGCAGTAATAGAGTATGGGCATTTGAGTTATTGTGTGTTTTGATATATGGCTTTGAGCCAAGTGGGGGAGTCTGCTATCGACGAGTTGATTGCACGGTTATGTGTTGGATTGGTTTCGGTTCGAGGTATACTTGTGAATCAGTTATGACTTGTAGAGGTGGAGATTGAGGATGACTCGAGTAAAGGAATTTCCAGATACAGGTTGTATTACACTCTATGAGTATATGGGAATCATAAAATAATTGAGTGGTTATTCCTGAAGGGTGTAGTGTGCATGGAGTAGGAATTTGCTCGGTTACTTCCTTGGGTGTTGGTGTGCTAATGGGGCACAGGTCATTCGGTCTGTTTGGTCGGTTTAATTGAAATTGAGCAGAGTGGAAGGCTCTCGAGAGGGTTCTAATGGGTTCAAGATATATATGTGGCAATTGAGAACTTTTCAGGATTTGTATATTACTAGAAGCCAAGATTTACATTGGATAGTATCGGGACTCGCGGTATTTCTATATCCTTATGGGTTATACATTTCAATATCAGGAAAGGGGAAAAGAGCGGCTTTAGATTCATGTAAGGTCTCTTCAGAGTGGGTATATTAGTTGTGGTACTTTTGGGGTGCTTAAGAGAGCATTCAGCGGCTTATGTGCTTTAAGGCATGTGGTGTTATGCTAGGATATCGTGTGGTGATTTTTGGTTGAGGATTGTGGTATTATGGCGAGGATGAGTATCAATTTGAAGGTAATTCAGAAGGAACTCAGAGAGTTAGGACAACTTGGTATTAGGTTGAATCAGCACAGTAATAGATATAATCGGTTCTTTGGGTGCTTATGATGTGGTGGGTTTCTACAGGTGCTTCATGGCAATGCTCTTGGGTTTTGTCAGCCTGCGTGGCTTGGTTGAGATAGAGAGATTTAGTTCTAATGGATTGATTATGTGCAAATGAGTTTCGAAGAGTTTTCAATTGTTACTACCATGGTTCGAGGTGTATATTTGCAACCGGTATGTGGAACATGTTGCGAATAGGGATTTTCTCTTGGATGAGATCAAATGGAAGGTTTCTAACTGGTTCAGTATGTATCTTACTGTGACTCGAAGTGGATTATGATATTTTTGTACTTTTCATACGATAGCATGGTATATGCGGTGTGTTGTATGGGATTGAGATTTGCATGAGCAAGGTCACGGTGTATTCTTAGGCAGCATGGACGATTTCAGATGACTAGGTGAATGATATTACTATTTGGTATGGCTTGATGAAAGTATACATTTCATAAGGGGCAATGTGTTTTGATTTATGGATACTTCATTGATATTGTGGCACTCTCCTGCTTGATTGACTGCTGATATTCAAATTTTGCTATGTGGCACGGAAGAATTATAGAAGTGTTCCTTGTGGTATGATCGTGTATGAGAGATGTGTTAGACATTCGGGCGGTGGAGATAGGATCAGATATGGTGATTCGTGTGTTCTATGGATTTGGAGACTGGGAGTTCTCGGGAGCAGATTTTATCATGGTTGTGGACAGTGAAGTCGTGGCCAAAGCCAGCAGATGATAGTATGTGTTATGATTCAGTCATTGTGGAACATCGAGGGGTTATTTATCTATTTGTGGGTGACTAGAGCTGATTTGGGGGTCCATTGGTAGCCCCAATTAGGATGTGTATTCTACACCGAGTCAGATTGGTTTGCTCCATACTATTATTGCTGAGGGATGTGCCATTCAGTTGTTGTTGAGCTTATTCGTGTTCTGAAATGATCTGTGAGTTACTTTTCTATGCTACGAGGAGTGAACTGTGGGTTATAAGCACACATGGTGTGGTTCTATTGGGGCCTTATAACGGAATTCGAGCGAGATGAGTATTTGAGTATTACATGATTGATGGCATTATATTCTTTCGGGGTTTGTATGGAACTGTGTCATTTTCCTCTCCGTGATTATGGTAATGCACTTTGAGTACTTGATGTCGAATTGCGCATAGTTATTGATTTTGAGAAGGGTGGCTTGAGGTATATGCCATGGATCAGTATTTGGATGGGGCACACATTGCAGCAAAATTATGTTGAGGTATGAACCTTTCTGTTAGATTTGTGTGATGGCCCTACGAGGTGTGATGGATTTTCAGTATTTCGTCGTGGCATTACTTGTTAAGCTTGCGGGATAGTTCTCTCGTTTGAGTCATTTTCTATGATTTGAGTATATTTGGATTGTTGCTTACTGGTGCACGGATTGCACGGGTTGTGGCTTTAGATTGTATTGAAGTGGCATGTCACTAGAGTGATTATGTTAGATTAGACGAGGTCATTGGACCTAGAATGGATACTATCATAATTGATTACGGCATAGTTGGAAGGATAATATCGAAAGTTGGCTTAGAAATTGGCTATAGTTCTTGTCGAAGGAGGGAGAGTTCCATGACTTATGGGACTGATAAGTGGTTACGAGTTTCTGCTTGTTTCTTTCATCATTGGCAGTGTACAAAGGTTCAGAACAAGATTTTAGTTGACATGAGGTTCGTTACCGGTGTCGAGTTGGTTATCGAGCAGCTATTGCAGTCGGAAGTTATCACTATGAGTATTTGAGTTGTGTGGTATATCCTGTGATTATGTCGTGGGTCATGGTTATGGCTAGATTCAGCTTGTTCAGACTTATACAGTGTGTATATGCGAAGTTCGGGTCTTGTAGTAATTCCGGATGTTGGGAATTGGATAATGTGGTTTACAGACTAAGGATGGAGTAATGATATTCAGTTGTGTGGTGTGGTCGGGCCTAGTTGAAATAGGGTGACGTGGGATCACCCCCGAGTATGTGCATGGTAAAGTTATACGGCGGTTTGCTGGCCTTCAGAACAACTCTTGGCACGTTCGAGGACGAACGTATGTTTAAGTGGGGGAGAATGTAATGACCCGGACGGTCGTTTTGAGCATGTGCACTTCGCTTGGTAGTTTGGGGGCACGAGTAGCTTCGTATGATGTATCAGTACTTGTGTTCAAAATTTGAGTTCATTACGAGTTGATTTGGTATGTTTCGGCGCGAGTTTTTGGAAGTCGAAAGTTCGAAAGTTCATTAAGTTTGATTTCAGGTGTGTTTTATCGTTTTGATGTTGTTATGCCTGATTTGAGTCCATGAGTAAGTCCGTGTTATGTTACGGGACTTGTTGGTATGTTTGTACGGGGTCCCGAGGGGCTCTGGTGAGTTTTGGATAGAATTGGGTTGTGTTGTGCTCGTTTTTCTTATGTTTTGACGTCGTTTCTTCAAGCATAAATGGTACCACATTGAACAAATGAGCTCTGATTTCTGTTTTGGTTAAGGCAGTAGATCCGTATCGTAATTACGGATCCGTAGCAAAAAGAATCGTCGAATTTGGAAATAGTATGAGGATTTTATGGTCATTTTACTAAGAATTGGGTTGCTAGATTTT